CCAGAGGTGCATTTCGGTGAGCTGCAGATGAGGACGGTTCCAACTTACACAAGGCTGTCCGTCCGTCTAGGTCGATTGCCGCGGTGGCTTCCAGGCCGCGACCTTAAAATAACCACCGTAATTCGGGAAATGACTTGGGATAGAAGCAAATAAAGTATAATACTTGGAATATCGACAATTACAATGGTATATCAGCTATATCTTGGCCTCCCAACTGTCACCACAACCACAACCGCTCCCCTTGGATTGCGGATTGTCTATTATTCGAAAACTTGAACCTATTAGCTCTGTTGCAAAGTCCAATGTCGAGCCTTTCAAGAGGCCTAGGGAGACGGTATCGACCAAGACATTGGAGGGGGTGAGGGTAGAGTGTTGGAATAGGCTTGATGAGGGTCAGGAGATGTATTTCAGTATGCTAGTACGGAAAAGGAATGGTTCGTGTACTCACTAATCGTCTGGCTCAGACTGGGACGTAAGCTCCATCTTGTATTGGTATCCGTGACACCCTCCAGACTCAACAGCGAGCCGTAGACTTATGTTTTGGTTATTCTCCCGCATTGAGATGTTACGGAGTTGCTGATGATTTCGTAAGGATATTTTGAGGATATGTCAACACGGCCCGCGAAAAAGGTATAGACCAATCATGTTGTCGTCCAAAAAAGAGCCAAATTGGTGAGTGTAATCTATTTTTATCATCATGATGGTGCCCGTACCTCGGCTGCCCGTGGGGTAATTCCAATAGTAGCCTCTTTGCCGTCTATTAATGCACTAGCATCCAAATCCACCTCTTCCAAATCTTTGGGAGACGGCATTCTCTTGCATACTGCATGGCTGGTCGAAGCTGAAGGCTCTGACGCGAGTGAGTATGCAAAACGGTTTGCTAGGTAAGGAGTATGGCGGGTTTGGGTTCGTCCCAATGGTACTTGTCTGTAGATTCCCGTAGCTTCTGATAGGCTTCTTAAGCTAGCCGACACTCTTGTGAACGACATGGTGGTTGGAGACCAGGATACGGTCAACGGCTGAGTGACTAAGCGCTGGTGTGTATTCGTCCGATTCAGATTGGCCAAAGCCTAATGTGACGGAAATAACCAGATAACTATGAGATATCCTTTACGATAGTTAACTCCAACTGAAAGAGGGGAGCATGGGGTTATATTTTAGAATGTACGGGGTTATACAAGTTGGTGCGGACGAGTTATCAGATGCCAAGTATAGACGGTGATAAGAGGTAAGAGGTTGGCATTGTATGATGCAACCGTTTTCCGGCAGTTTACCGGGTGCAATTATGTGCGCCTCGAGACTAGTTGACGGGCGGAGGGTGGAACGTCTCCTGAAGGCTGTTGGATGAGATTGAACGATTGAAAAGGCTCAGCAGACACGATTACGGCATTCTCCAAACTGGCGGAGGGAAAGTCACCTTCCTGACTTGCAATACTCTCGGGCAACACAAAAGTAACCTTTCTGGAACCTAAACGCCACGTATGGACACCGAAAATGTATTCCATCACATGATCCCTGTTCTTTAGAACGACCCGGGCATGTTCAGGGACGCGATCATGTTTCGCAATAGTCACTGGGGACACAATTGAGGGCGAGAAGAGCAATAGAGAGAGAATACATACCAAGCGACAAAAGTTACTGCACGCGCACAGGATCCGGATAATCACCCATTGATGTATGCATAATATGCAAAAGAGAGAGGTACAGGTTTAGAGGAGTAAATTTTGATGTCGGGTCGCTTGTCGAGCGCCAGCGAAAATGATATCTCATTTTGGCGCCACATAGTATCGCCTACCGAGCAAAATAGAGACCAAGGGCTCGAGTAATTATAGGATGTGCTAGTGCACTTTTGTGTGGACAATGGCCAGACCCAACTGGAGGTCTATTCTGCTCGCCCATCCCGGCGACGGCTAATTCTGTATTGATGACAATTGCAGGTTATACTTTGAAGAACTCGGATGGAATGTTAACTCGAGCGCGTTATCTTTTTTGGGGCTAGTTCGGTTTGCCTGGCCATTGAGTTGGTAGAGTCGTGACAAGTCTCGCACCACAAAGCTAGCCATACATTGAGCCCCGCCACCACTCAGCCAACAGCAGCGCCGACGGAGACAGCTCGATTCAGCATGGCTACAGACAGCGAATTCTATCCGAAAGATGACCACAGCTGGAAGGCTTGGATGTTCCAGGAATACCTCCAGGTCAGCCTTTTTGGGGATAACCAATATCAAATCCTCGACTTATCCAGCAAATACGCTTATTAGGTCCGGGGACCACTGACCGAAGAGAATGTTATGGAATATTTTGAAGAGTCCTTTTTGTTTGATAGAAGCAGTAATAACAACGTGCTTCGTATGCAAACGCAACACGCCGACCCAAACTATCGCATGAGTAGACCTGAAATGGAAAATGAGCTCAAGTGAGGGGGTTCGGATCAATATTTTGGCTATTCACTGTCGTTCTGAGCCTGATCATCAGGCGCTTTACTGGAAAAGAATACGCTCTGGTTCACGCCCAGCCGCCCCTGTTCGTGATCCAACAAAGAGATCGATTGTCCCCCACTGAAGGTCAGATATCTCGCTTATCCATTGCATATTGTTTTGACTGGTTTTATTAGTTCGCCCAACGGCTGTATACTTCATCCTAAACAATGTTTTGTACTCGGCTCCCGATTTGTATACGCTATTATCAACCAAGCTGGTTCGTAATCCACATAAACATAACGTCCACCTCTTTGATGCATCGATCGGGACTAGACAAATGCGTTGAGCATGATTCAATCCTCCCTAGACACCTTGCGCGCCGCTCGACCAGACTACACACCACGTGTAGGGCATGTTTGGCCGATTGTAGAAGCGCCTTCCACTTCCAAAGTATTAGGTAAACCTCCAGGAGGAACTCGCCAGAATTCCGTGGCTCCAGGCACGCCCATGGATGCTAGCCAACAATCAAAATCACAACAGCAACAACAGCCCCCGGACAGTTCTGTCAAGCCACCACAGGATAATGAAGAAAAACAAGTGTGGGAACCTTTTGCTTTTGCATTCCAGGCTACACGGATCGAAATGGAGAAGAAGCGACAGGCCGCAGCTGCCACGGCGCTGGCTAGTTCGGTTGGTGGTGGTGCAGCAGGAGGTCCATCTGGATCTAACTTGTCTGCGGAAGGCATGAGACAGGTGGGTACCGAATAGTCTGCGACAGGGAAGTGATTCTGAGGGGGTCCTTGGCCTTCCTCTCGCTAGATTGTCCCCGCTGGTGGTCAGACCCAGGGTACAGGAGCAACAACATCGACAACAACTGCTGGTGGTGGTGGTGGTGGTACCGGCACATCGCTCATGTCAAAGCTGAATGTGCCGACCGCGGACGGGCCTTCTACCTCGACCAAGCAGAAGGGCACGCCTGGGCCTCCGGGAAAACCGGGACACGGAAAAAAGAAACAAAGACGTACGTACGCGATTTTTTTCTCGTTTCCTCCATGACTTTCTGGGGCTTGTCTTCCGGTTCCTTGTGTGTGCCAGGGCAACCGAGCTGTAAGCAGCGTCCCCAAACCTTTTTGAGCGCCTCCCCACCCAATTAACCTGGCGCTAATTAAGCCATACATGTTAACTTATCAAGCTCCGCAGGTGTCGAAAAGCAAGCACTGAAGCAGGCTGGTTCTCAGACGACTACAATGCCCACCCCAATTTGATACGGTTCACCCAAATGGAGCAAAGTTCCTCGCCTGATCGCCCTCTTATTAAATTATTAACGATCACCTGTCAAAGTGGAGCCTGTACGTCCACAAATTTGGCTCCTGAGTGATTTCGTTATAGCTATTCGACGTGTCACTTTAGGGAAAGGGAAACCATTCAAAAGGCTCCTCACTTTCAGATTCGACCAGAAATTCATGGGCAGCGTCTTCTTACATAATAACTGGCGTAACGCAGGAAGGTTAAAGGTTATCAATGTTGATTAGATTGATTGATAGCGAAAGAACTATGTGTATAACTCTTGTAAATCACTAGAGGAACGAAGCCCAGCAACGCACAGACAACCGTACGGCTGGATAGAAAGCGAGTTGAACATTATGCCATGGATATGAAACAGGGATCCACCGGGGTTTGCGGTGAGGGGAAAGAAGATGGCCAAAGTTTTTCAAAAAGACAGCACTCGGTTGCATGGTGAGCAAAAGTACAAATTGCACGGAGAAAATGTGGATGAGAGGGGACAACGACGGGAACAAACTGTTGGCTGGATGGGCATTATGAGCAACCTCCAGT